CTACCACTTGAGCTACAGCGCCACTTCCGGTTTTCTGGTGGTTTATTGGAGATAGGAGTCTCACGGTCTCTCCTGCCCAGGCTGGCTTTGAACCGCGATCCTCAGATCTCAGCCTCCTAAGTAGCTAGGATTACAGGCGTGAGCCACCAGCGCCCGGCTCCCCCCAATTTTTTTTAAATGCTACCTCCACACTTCAATTCATGAAATGTCTCTGTCTGAGATACCCTACATGTAACTACATACCATTTTTGGTTGTTGTTTGTTTGTTGCTTTTTTTTTTTTTTTTTGGTGAGTCATGGGGCCTGAACTCTGGGCCTGGCGCTGTGCCTCAGCTCTTCAGCTCAAGGCTAGTGCTCTACCACTTGAGGTACAGCACCACTTCCAGCCTTTTCTGCTTATGTGGTGCTGAGGAATGGAACCCAGGGCCTCATGCATGCAAGGCACGCACCCTACCACTGAGCTACCTTCCCAGCCCACTACATGCCATTTCTCATGAGCAGGGCATGCTTGGCTTTCACATCCCCTGTCATGAATCCCATCCATGCTTTATAGAAGAAACCAACTCGCTGAAAGTGGATAACTGGCCTGGGGTCACAGAGCTATTAAAAGTTCACCTTGTACCATCCAAACTAGGGTCTGACTTAAACCTTCACTTCACCATGTGCCCCTCTTATCAGATCTGCTCATCCAAGGCCCGGGATAGTATCATAGGCTTTCTCTGTGCACCTAATCATGTACCCTCTCCCTTTTGGGGATCTCTCAGCCCCATTATCCAGCATCCAAAACCCTCACTTGTCCTCCAGACCACAAGCTCAAAGGCAGTTGTCTACTTTCTGCTCCTACCTCCTGTAAGCTCTGGCACCGCAAAGCAAAAGGCTCCATTAATACTTGCTTGTCCCTAAAAGACTAATATGAGTATCCGCAGTCCTTCGACAGCAGTCATGGGAAATCCCCCCACTTCACCATTCTGCCACATTTGGCTGTAGGAGTCTTTTTATTATTATTATTTTGCCAGTCCTTGGGCTTGAACTCAGGGCCTAGGCACTGTCCCTGAGCTTCTCTGGCTCAAGGCTGGTGTTCTACCACTTGAGCCACAGTGCCACGTCCAGCTTTTTCTGTGTATGTGGTACTGAGGAATCAAACCCAGGGCCTCATGCATGGTAAGTGAGCACTCTACCACTGAGCTACCTTCCCAGCCCTGTAGGAGTCTTGAAAGGAAGAGAAAACCTGGGAAGCCAGAAGTGCCATAAGGCAAGCCAATGGGGTACAGAAAATACAGTAATGGTAAGAGCAAAGAGTACCATTCATGAAGCTTTCACCAAGCTCACAGCACCTGGTAAGAAAAACAGAAATAAAGGGAGTGAAATTTGGAGCAGAGAGGTAGAAAGAAGCCAGAAAAAGAGGAGTTTTGTAAACTACACATGAATTTCTGTCAGGATAGTAGGATTACTGATCTATCTTAATGGAACTCTCTGGCATCTTGTGAAAAGTCTCTGCATTTTGGCTCATTAGGGGCAAAAATGATAACTTTAACATATTCCTGATTTTTTCTTTCTTTTTTGTCGGTCATGGGGCCTGAACTCTGTCCCACAGCTCTTCTGCTCAAGGCTAGTGCTCTACCACTTGAGCCACAGTGCCACTTCTGGCTTTTTCTGCTTATGTGGTGTTGAGGAATCAAACCCAGGACCTCATGCATGCTAGGCAAGCACTCTACCACTGAGCCACCTTCCCAGCCCTATATTCCTGATTTCTAAAGCAATCCATGGTGTATTCAAATACGGGGTGCTGATGGAGTTGAGAGGAAGAAACTAAGAATGCCAGCCTGGGCCTCATCCAGAATAAGGGACATCAGGAAGGTGGGTATTTGCTTCCCATTTCTTTCAGACTCACACCTGTAATCCTAGCTACTCAGCAAACTGTGATATGAGGATTCCAGTTCAAAGCCAGACCAAGCCCGGTGCTAGTGGCTCACGCTTGTAATCCTAGCTCTTTAGGAGGCTGAGATCTGAGGTTCTCAGTTCAAAGCCAGCCTGGGCAGGAAAGTGCCTGAAACTCTTATCTCCAATAAACCACCAGAAAACCGGAAGTGGCACTGTGGCTCAAGTGGTAGAGTGCCCAACTTGAGCTGAAGAGCTGAGGGACAGTGCCCAGGCCCAGAGTTCAAGCCCCAGGACCAAAAAAAAAAAAAAAAAAAAAGCCAGACCAAGAAGAAAAGTCCATGAAACTGTTCTTTCCAATTAACCACCAAAAAGTCAGAAATGGAGGTATGTCTCAAGTAGTAGAGGCACTAGCCTTAAGCACAAAAGCTAAAGAATAGTGCCCTGGCCCTGAATTTAAAAAAAAAAAAACAAAAACCTATAGACCAAGCAGCCCAGTGAGAAAAAGCCACTAATAAGCATAATTTGGCAGTAGGAACACTAGGTCAGGTCTGTGGAGGAAATAATTCCACTTCCTGCCAGTCCTCAGGTGTATCAAAGGAACAGGTAAAAGTGTAAGACAAATTAGCAAAGCAAATACTAGGCGGGTCATTTTCTCAGCATTCAGCTGACCTCTGAATTGTTTGCCTTGACTCCCGATCCAGTCTCCCCACAGTAGGGTCCAGCCCCTAGAGTTGGGGGCTCCTACCCTATTCTCAAATACTAACGGGCCTATTCTCTCCCGCAGGCTGGAAAGGAACTTTCACCTCCCAAAGGGAGAGAACTGCTCCCTCCCTTGCAGATAATGAGAAGAGTCGGAAGCTTGCTTCTCTCCACCACAGACAGGCCCTGCTTTCAGGCCAGGGAGACTGGCGATCAACGCAGGAGCTCTTTACTCAAGAACCACACTCAAACACGTGTAGTGGTCCTCCCTTCCCGCTGCACCTTAAAATCACCTGAGAAGCAGTACACACTACTGAGGCTCAAGCCTCACCACAGGCCACTAAAACCAGAATCTCTGGAGGTGAGACCCGCTTTTGGATTTTTTATTTTGTTTTCAAGTCCCCAAGTGGTTCTTCGGACACCAGGGTCCAGGGCTTTATGTCAATAAATGGATCTCAGACTGACCCATTGCATTCTGCGAGGCCAGATCCCATCCCACATCCCAGGCGCTGTCTGACCCATTGCATCCCTTTTCCCCTTCCCCATAGAACCTTTCAGAAGATTCCACCTTTGCCCCTTGAACTCATCTAGACCCCGATGGGTCAATCCACAACCTCATCACCTAAGGACCCCTGCAGACATTCCCCATGACTGTCTGAACGCCGAAAACCATCCTGTCCTGTTGGGTTTGTGGTTGGAGTCAGGTCGGCCCCCCAGTCCCGCCCGCTCCTGCCCCCGCGTCCCGGCCGCTGGTCAGCCTCTCACCGCAGTCCTGGCAGGCTAAGATTAAGTCGGCTGCAGCTCGGAGCCAGGTGCCAGACAGTGCGCATGCGCGCACGCCACCAGGGCTTCCCCCGATTTTGGCTCCGCCCCCGCCCAGCGATTGGCTGCGCACCACTCGGCTGCCACTCCAGCAGGTGACCGCTTCTGAGGCTGTCGCCGCCATAATGGTCATGGGCGTTTGCCAATAGCGACCAAAAAGAAAATGGACACAAGCAAGTGGGATCAGGTTGCCTGGATTCCTGATGAGCTATCTCTTGTCTTTCACTCCACGAAGGCTTAATATCACTCATCTCAAATGTGGACGCTCCCCTTTTTTGTTGCTTGTTCTTTGCCTCTCTAATTTGGAGGATGAAGACACCTTAGCATCATCCTTCAAGCCTAGATGTCAGCCGGAGGTCGACTTGGAGGTAGCAGTGGGAATCCCTGATCCTAGATTTTGTACCCACAAGAGTGGACAGGCCTAGCTTAAGCTGTGGGCATTAGGCATCAGACCACAAGAGCCAGAACACGGAGATGGGTGGGACAAAGGACAGGCCATCAACTCACAGCTATGTAACCTATCCTCCTTGTGTTATTTATAATTATATATTATATATTACATATTGTACAAAGAATATATTATACATAATACAGTCGTTGTGTTCTATATATAACATATAGAGAGAATGAACTGTTACTATGCACTGCTTAAGAATCCCACTGCAGGGGGGGAGGGGGGAGGCTGGGAAGGGATGTGAAGGATAAACAAAAGAGGAGGCTTCAATGCTTGGTAAGAAATGTACACATTATCCTGCCCATGTAATTGTAACCCCTCTGTTCAGTATGTTCACAAATAAAATAAATTAAAAAAAAAAGAATCCCACTGCATTTTCCTGTTGAGTCCTCACATTATTCTAGGCCATAAATGCTATTATTCCTATATTAGAGACACAAAAACTGAAATTCAGAGAGACTCAGCAACTTTTGCACCACAACCAAGAGATCCAGACAGTTTCCTGAGCCCCAGAACACTTTATCCTCTTCAATCCATATTCATGCTCTCAAAACCAAGCTTGTATGGCTCAGTCTAGTCTGGAGGTGCTCCCTGACTGATCTGCAACACTAAGCAATCAAACAGCACACACACAAGATCTGCCTAGTTTCCCTACCTTGGGGTAAGAGAAGGAGCACCACTTTTGGCTTCTGCGAAATGCCAAACTTCTTTTTCTTCTGTTAATCTCTGTTTTCTGAACATTAAATAAAAAACAGGTCTAAGAGTTTTGTGGATCCCAAGCCTTTGCTGTTGTCAGCCATCTTCCTGAAACAAGAATATTACCTCCTTTGTGACAAAGTAGTAAAGGACACAAGCATAGCAAATGGCTTAACACAGGAGTCTTGCGTCCAGGGGCTGAAGGTACTCATAATCCACTGCTTGACTCATTTCCCTCTTTCTTCCCAATCCCTCTTCTTCAGACCCTCTTCTCACCTTCTTTGTTTCCTGTTTGGGAACAATCTGGTCCTGGTGAATGAGAAGCAGCTCCAAGGTGTTGTGAGACAGAAGAAACTATAGATCCAGGATTATACAAATTTGCAATTTATTCCAGGACTCACTGACTGCCAGCCTTGGCAGAACAAGACTCTTCAATTAACCACCAGAGAAACAGAAGTAGCGCTGTAGCTCAAAGTAGTAGAGCACTAGCCTTGAGCAAAAAGAGCTCAAGCCCTGAGTTCAAACCTCGTGGAAAAAACAACAACAAACAAACCTACTCACCTACTTAAGTTGCTCTTTAAAAAAAATATTTATAGTAAGATGCTGTGGAGGAATGGGGGGCATTACTTAACTGTGTATCACTGAAGCAAGCAATAAACCAGGCGCTGGTGGGCCACATCTGTAATCCTAGATACTCAGGAGGCTGAGACCAGAGGATCACACTTCAAAGCTAACCCGAGCAGGAAAGTCCATGAGACTCTTATCTCCAATTAACCACCAGAAAACCAGAAGTGGTGCTGTGGCTCAAGTGGTAGAGCCCTAGCCTTGAGCTGAAGGGCTAAGGGACGGGCTCAGGCCCAGAGTTCAAGACCCATGACCAAAAAAAAAACTGAAGCAAGCAATAAATGACAACTCAAATCCTCAAGCCAAAATAAGTTTATTGACAACTTGAAAGTCTATGACTCAAATACTGATGCAATTTTCTTTCTTGTCTCTTAGCTTCACTTCTGTGTGGAGCTCAGTCAGGCCCTCCAGAACTCAGACTGCATTTTTTTCAGATTTCTTTTTTTATTGGGGGGGGGTGCGGGGTCAGTCTTGGGGCTTAAACTCTGGGCCTGGGCGCTGTCCCTCAGCTCTTCAGCTCAAGGTAAGTGCTCTACCACTTGAGCCACAGCGCCACTTCTGGTTTTCTAGTGGTTTATTGGAGATAGGACTCACGGTCTTTCCTGCCTGGACTGGCTTTGAACCTCAATCCTCAGATCTCAGCCTCCTGAGTAGCTAGGATTACAGGCGTGAGCCACCGGTGCCCGGCTTTTTTTCTAATTTCTATCCAGGGAAAAGAAGTACTTCCGGGGCTGGGAAGGTGGCTCAGTGGTAGAGCGCTTGCCTTGCACACTCGAGGCCCTGGGTTCGATTCCTCAGCACCACATAAGCAAAAAGAAAAAAGCCGGAAGTGGCGCTGTGGCTCAAGTGGTAGAGCGCTAGCCTTGAGCTGAAGAGTTGAGGGACAGTGCCCAGGCCCAGAGTTCAAGCCCCACGACCAGACCAAAAAAAAAAAAAGAAGTACTTCCTTCCACTGGATGAAAGAACTAAGTCCTGGGTCTGACTGCCATTGGCCCACTTGGTTAGCCCCAACCGCTCACTGACTGTTGCCCAATGGATGGCCATGCTGCTTACCCAACATTTAATTAAATTTATCAAATTACCCAAAAGCTTGAGGGAATATTAAACTTCTCCAGAATCACTTTACTGAGAATAGGTAAAGTGTGGAGCCCTAAAAATCAGGGGGCTAGAATCAGAGTGAACAAATACTGAGAGACTCACAGTTTCATTCCTATTTTTCTCATTGTACCTGAAAACTTCTTAGAAGTCTTAAGAATTTAGGAACCAGAGGCTAGGAAGGTGGCTCAGTGGTAGAGCGTTTGCCTTGCATGCATGAGGCCCTGGGTTCGATTCCTCAGCACCACATAAGCAAAAAGAAAAAAGACGGAAGTGGCACTGTGGCTCAAGTGGTAGAGTGCTAGCCTTGAGCTGAAGAGCTGTGGGACAGTGCCCAGGCCCAGAGTTCAGGCCCCAGGACTGGACCCCCCCCCCAAAAAAAAAAAAGCATTTAGGAATCAAAGTCAAAATGCAAGTTCCTCACCTTCCCAGGCTTGAATGAGCTTGTCTTGCATGTGCTCTACTCCTACTCCAGGATTTTTTCACCCTGGGGAAGCATATGGAACCATTGGCTAGACCGATGTGGCTAGGTGAGGTTAGTCCATAGGTAATTTTGAACACTGCAGTATTAGGAGAGGAACAAAGTTATATAAACAGAAGTAAGGAGGCATATCAAATTCCCTGTAGGTGCTGTAACAGATTACCAAAGTTAATGGCTTAACACATGTTTTAGCTTACAGTTCTAGAGAATGGATCTGAGTACAGTGCTTATTTTTTGTTGTTGTTGTTGGTCATCAGGCTTGTCTCTGAGCTCTACAGCTCAAAGCTTGTGCTCTACCACTTTGAGCCACAGCACCACTTCTGGCCTTTTCTGTTTATGTGGTGCTGAGGAATCAAACCCATGGCCTCATGCATGTGAGGCAAGCACTCTACCACTGAGCCACCTTCTCAGCTAGAGAATGGATCTGAAGTGAGTCTTCTTGGATAAATCAAGGTGATGGCAGGACTCCATTACTCTCTGGAGGTTTTAGGACTCATTTCACTTGGCTGCCTCTACTCCATATTCCTTCCTCTATCTGCAAAGCAACAGCTAATCAAATCTTCCTCAGCTATCTGCCTAATTCCTTGACCTCCTTCTACCTATAAGGACCCCTGTGATTAGAGGGAGTTCACCAAATAATCTGATTATTATAAGGTCAGCTAATGAACAACCTTAATACCACTCTAATAGCCTTAATTCCTTCTTGTTCCTGACAAGTAAAATATTCACAGCTTCCTAGGTATGAGAGTATAGACACTTTATTCTGCCCACCAGAGTCTACCTACCCGACAGATGCCACCATGTCCTGAAAACAACCCTCACAGTGGACACAAGACAAACTCCCTCTCAGAACTTGGGGTAGAGAATGAGGAGTTAGTAGATTCCAAATGAGACCCTAATCAAGTTTCTTTTCTACTGAGCAGCTAGGATTACAGGCATAAGCCACCATACCCATTACACTTACTTTTTTTTTTTTTGGTAGTTTATTGGAGGGTGAGTCTCAGAAACTTTCCTGCCCATGCTGGCTTCCAACTGAGATCCTAAGATACCAGATTCACTGTAGCTAAGATTACAGACTTGAGCCATTGGATTCTTTTCTGTTTCTTTATAAGGTTTTGATGTCAAAGATTTAGACATCCTTATTTCCTCATTCTTTTGTTCTTTTTACTTCCTCATTCTTTTGTTAGTCAACCCCCCCCCAAATTTCCTTAAGCAGATTTTGGTTTATCAACTTATCCAGTCTTCAAAGTTTTATAATCTGTTAATTATCTGCAAATTATATAATCTGTAATAATCTGCAAGTTGTACTTTTCTATTAGCAGAGAGAATACAGTTTACCCATGTGAATAAAGCAATCTTTCTGGCTTCACCCAGGTGGCCTCTGGGTTTTATTTACAGGCTCTAGTATCCTGGGAGAGTGGTCTACTTTCATTGAGCCTCTGGTGTCCTAACTACTAAGTGGGAGTATCACTCTGTACTTGACACAGTTATAAAGAATTACAGGAACTAATATAACATTCTAGAACAGGAGGACTAGGAAAGAGTCTGAAAGAAGTTCTAGCAGGGCTGGGAAGGTGGCTCAGTGGTAGAGTGCTTGCCTAGCATGCATGAAGCCCTGCGTTTGATTTCTCAGTACCATTTACACAGTAAAAGTTGGAAGTGGTGTTGTGGCTCAAA